AATGTAATTAGAAATGTATGTCACTGCATTGTAAAATTATATAATTTTTTTTTAATTTAAATATAAAATATTTTTGCCAAAAACTTTCAGAATCGAACTGGCTGAATATATAAAAAAATATATATAAATATTAGAGATATGTCGATGACGTTAGATTATGTGAATAGTTTTTATAGCAACATACCGAGCATGGAGTGCAGCGGTCATCGAATCAATTTGCTAACGGCGGACACCAGCCTAGCATCAATCAAACACGGTGATGGATTGTGTGCGCATGCGCAACTGAGCACAGCTACTGTCATTAATACACCAGATGACTGATAGAGTCTCTTAAAGCCACACAAATTACAGTTCGGCCCATTCAGCTTCGCAAGCAAGAAGTTTTAATTTTATAATACCACACATATTCACTTTAAAGATTTCAGAAAATAAAAATTATATGAAAACAAATAATTGACCGCTATTTTAATTAAAGCGCTCATTTCAAGCACCAAAACAAATACGAAGATGCTATCTCGAACTGTACTTTCACTAACATAGTTACCATTTAAACGTACAAAGATTTACAATCGTAAACAGAAAAACATTCTTGTACTAATAATTAAAGATGTGTATAACATTTGTAAAGGAAGTGACAGATAGCCAGCCTAGGGCGATGGAACATTAAGGCCCTACGCAATATTAATGTAGCACATTCTCACCCACGGCAATAAAATAAATGATGTCATTTTTTGTCCGCGCGGGAGACCCTTTGTCCTTATTCCGTCGGCACATCACTAGACCTGCCCGAATAGAACTATCCACAGGGTGTCCTCACACAAAAGACGTTAGGCGCCTCTCGATTCTCTTGATTTTTGCGAATATGACGCGTCTTTTTATCATAATTAATAATTTATAGCTTTCGTCAAGAGTCTCTTGGAGACACCTGCATACAACTCGCAAGGTGCTTCTGTCGCACAGATGATAAATCATACATCTTTGTTATTTTAAGATACCGTGTAGTCATACATAATGGTTGGACACTAACATTAAATTGTTAGCAGATAATAAACTAGCCGTTTTACGTATTTTATTAACACTTTCCCGCTCGGCGACTTTACAGTTTGTGAACATTCATTTTATTTCCTTATAAATAATAAAAATAACCAAATGATATTCTTGTTACCGGAAGATGTTTACATTTATCAAGCCATCCTTTTAGTCTAGCCGTGTAGCTATCGATACCTTGGAATTTAACGAACAAAAGTTGTTATATCGATGTAGTTTTTTCTTTTTTCGAACAATACGCATTGCGTAGGGCATTAAATGTCAAGTATTGATGCAAATGTTACCGCCGACATACATCGGACATTTTTACGAGAGTCTGCACCAGTGCGACGTAAAACATCTATTTTACAGTCCGTACACCTCGTTGTTTTAATAATAACGATTAAAAAACATAATTTATTGTCATAACATCGACGTTTTTAGATGTGCGGATCCGACAGCGGGAATCTGTTCAAATTGCCGGAGATAATCGTTGTCGAAAACATTTCACGTTCGATGACATCGGCTGATCGTTTGATAAAATAACATTTCATATTTTCATATTATTTTAACAACATACTTTAATATATACACATTTTTTAGGTTGTAAATTCATTTTTTTATCATCATAATGCTTTCGGGGAGAAATATAAAAACCTTAAATAACACTCCATCTATATATTCATTTTAAAATAAGAGACTTTCATAATATTAATTCCGAGAAGCTAATGCGGGTCAATCGATGCGCGTAAAATGTAAATAAGAAAGTACTTCGTTCCCAGTCATCATAAACGTTTTACACATAAAACAATAGTTATCCAGGTTTGAGAGTTTGAATAAAAAAAAAAAATTGTCTCGAATTAAAAGACGAAACAATTTGTCATAAAACTTCGGCTGGCTGTAAAGCTGCGGTCACACAAGCTCTTACCCGTTTACCTCGTAACTCGTGAAAGTTATAGTATTTAGGGCAGTTCAAAGCCGCCGACGGATATTAAAAGAAGAGATATGGTCGTGCGACCAAAATGTACGGCTCATTCAACTTGGATCCCGACGTTTCTATAGATTGTAGCCTGATTGACCGGTTGCTGAAGTAAAATTTTTATTTTTTACTAATAACTTACAACAGGGGCATGTTTTATGTACGGCATCGATATCAATATACGTATCCACGGATTTAAAAATCGTTCATTGATATATGTATAAGAATTATAATCTATGGTCAATCCCTTGGTTAACTGACCATAGACAACTAATAACTGGCGTGTATACAAAGGCTGCGAACATTAATCAGGGCGCACATCAAGCAGTGACATCATAACTCGAACACACCGACAAACTGTTTTTATCACACTGCTATCAATCAAGAGTCGACAGAGGCTTCCGCGTGGAAATTACTTTCAATATATATAAACATAACATTCAAGAATACAGCTTATAAAAAGCGAACCAGCCACCTTAACTAATTAATAGCAATTGTTAATATCATGAGTTTTATTTATTATTCTACACTAACAAATGACATACAATTATATGCGTGTAGAATATTGTTTAGAGCCTAATTAAGAGTGATTAATGTAACTGTTTGATTTTGTAAATATTATTTAATAGTCACTAGATATAATTTGACTTAAAGTAATTTTTAAGACGTCACGTTTGACTGCATTTAATACAAAATTTTATACGTGTGACACTATACATTAATCGTTTTATTTTTATATATTTGTTTGTGTATTCTCGGGTAAACAACATTATAATTTCTTGACACATTGTCACTAACTACTCGTCCTCATGACCTGTCAAAATAAAATATGAGCCAATAAGGGCGCGTCGCACGACGACAGCCGTCACACTCTTACGATATATGAACTTATTAAAATATCTACTTTTTGTCCCTTTAGTTAAAACGGAATGACACGTATGTTTATTTTTGGTATTCATTACATTGTCACTCTATTATAATTGACTAATTTACAAGTCTAAAAACGGAAAAGCAATTCTGATACCCTTCAAGTTGATATCTATATAACGAAAGTATCATCTTCATCTTTATCGTACGTAATAGACAAATTTGTATAATCATATATTTAAATGAACGGCTGAATATGTTAATTGATCAGATGTATAAATGTCGATGATTAAAATATAAATTGGCATCAAAGGCGCCGACGGTCGGCTTCCTGAGATGCTGGATCGTTCACACGGACCGGTGCTAACTAGTTGAATCCGGTATATTTTGACAAAAAGCAATACAGTTAGCCAACATAGCCACATGTGGCGCGAGCATTTGACACGCGCGATCTGGCGGGACTTGACGGATGGAGGCAAAAAATATTGTTTACAAACCCACTTAACATACCCGGCATTGTTCAACTTATCGATACACATAACAGAGAAAATATTTATCTTTTAAACACCGCCTACAATAATATAGATTCTTGTGGCTGACAACTAATTCGTTCTACGTCTGTTATAAGATATTTTAATATGCATATGCTTATATTATTTAAATGTGTTTTTTTTACGTTATTATGTAAATTTATATATATATATACATATGTATATGTATACGAGTAGGATTATTCGGATATAAATGGATGCTGTTAGATTGTAATTAGACGTGGGATGGGCAGGATATAGGTCCTTGATTGCGAGATCAGCTTTGGTTTCTTCAGGAAACCACGTTATGGTAATTAGTTTGCCGAGCGTAATAACAATGCGCTAGTAACTACATTACACATACATATATGGTGGTTTACGTCCACGTATTCTCCCGACAAATGGTTCGTTGTTTTCAACGTAAACTGTATTTAGATACGAATTATTTTCGACTATATCAAACTACTTTTTATTTAAAGGTTTTTTTTATGATTGAGTAACTATAGATAAGTATAGTTTTTTATATATACTCGTCTACCATACATATAAAGTTCCATTAAAGTCTATAAAGTTGTTAAAATGATCCTTCGCTATGACAAACGAAAATAAAAATAAAAATTATTTGTTCCAAACTGCCATATAATACTTATGAGTATAAATAATAAAAAAACATTTATCTAAAATCATAAACGAACACTTAAATTTATTATTAAGTACATTATTTTTTAAACAGGTACTATAGAAATGGCGTCGAGTTAAAGTATTTGATTCATAACGTACTAAGATGAAATCGATGAGGTTCATATAATTAATAGATCATAACCAAGAAATTAAGCCCAGCGAAGGTTAGGAACTCGAACAGTGGAACTTACGACGTTCGGAAATTTAGTGCAACAAAAACTGAAACAAAGAGGAAGGGGCGCAAAAAGCGTGACGGACTGACGGATCATACCGCTGACATCTGTTGCTATGGCGTGGAGAATTCACTGGATACATGTGTTGGATTGGATTATAATTTCTAGAAATCTACCCACAGCCATCTAATTTTGGCCACCTTGCTTCCGAATCGCGTTTTAGGCAACTGTTCCACGCGTTCTTGAAAGCGGCATGGTGTATCATTTAAATTATTTAGAACATCCACTAGTTATGAGAAGTCAATAAGAAAAGTAATAATTTTTTTTAATAACAGCAGTTGGTAATCCTGGCTGGTTAATTAAATTATTTGTCACGTCAGCACTGTTCCCGAACGGATGAACGCAATATTCAATTTTCGAACGATTCCGACGCCGCCATGATGGAGTATCGATCATTTGTAACGGCGAACGTTTTTGCCGTGATAAATAGGGTTTTGGCAAAATGAATATCATGTAATTTACGCACATTACATCATTCGTGTACATTTTCAATTAAATACTGCAGGTTCGAATATTATGTGTCAGTTATAACAAATAGAAATTAAGTCGAAATAACATATTTCCATTTAGTCATAACACAGTGTAAACGCGAAGCTGATAAAAGCAGTTAGTAATGATATGAAAAATATAGCGCAATAGGATTAATATATACATATTTTTAAGAGATATATTCGCATACTTTACCTGTATGACCCTCATAGGTAATCCGGTTTCCTTGGCCAGCTGTTCCCGGATATGTCTGGTCGGCTTCGGCGTCTGTGAGAAGGCAGACTTCAGTATCTCGAGCTGCTTTGCTTTTATCGTCGTCCTTGGACCCCTCCTCTTAGAACCTCCGTTGCCGTCGTCTGGTGACTTGTTCTCGGCCTGTGAATCCCTGGTCTCCGGGTCGCCGTCTAACGAACCCTGGGATGGGAAGAAGAAGAACTGAATGCGACTATGTGGTCCAGTCTTATTGACGTGATGTTGGATTGTAACATTACATAAAAAAAGATAATACTTCACTTGGTAGATACGTAGATGGACGATGGAAAGAATTTATAGTTTAAAAATAGATTCTCTGAGAAAATATGATATAAAAGTTTACTTTATAATATATATTTTACCATTTACGATAAAAGACCTTTCCAATAATTTTAATTACTTTGGTGTTTTTTTATTGTAATTCTCACTCATATCCTACATAGGTACATTCCAAGGCTGTGAGATGATTCAAACTTTAAGTGATATTTATTGTTATTTTATTATTGACTTCATAAAATAATGATGAAATACAAAAACAAATATTGTCTATAGAGAGACATAAAATCTATGTGGAGACAAATAAAATATTTTATTACGACTCTGATAAAAGAGTTAATACAAGATAATGTTACCTGGACGTTTAAATTCAATCATTTTGTTTGTACCTGTTTTGTCAATTCAAAAATGTGGTCAGTACATATCAAGAAATTAACTGGAATATTTCACTCTTTACGAAAAAACTAAAACTTCTTTCTCTACATTAAAACTTAAAAAACTCTTTTTCTTCTTCTTTGAAATTGGCTTTAAGAAAGTTTCAGTGATATATTATATATGATGTAATTTTTATGGGACCCTTGATGTAAGTCGTGTATATTTAAGATGTATATACCAACCTGGTCTTCCGAGTCCTCATGAGGTTTAGCATCTCCGTTATGCGAGAGGTCCGGGTGCAAGGCTGGGTGGGGAGCGTGGGCAGGGCTGCTAGAATTGTTCCCCGCACGGGATTCCTCTTCCTCCTCTTCGTCAGAGCCTGAGCCGAGGAGGGAATCCGCTGGTGAGGAAATTTTCGATAAGTTCGATAAACGATCGACAAAACCGCTCGGCAGTTTCGGGAAAAATGTGCTGTAGTCTCCGGATTTTCCTTTCGTAAGGACTAAACCGGTAATGGATTATGGAATACCTTGAAAAAGGCTTAAATTTTTTTTTATGACACCATGTTGATGATTTTGACCTGAATTTTCTCTACATCTTCATGTAACGGAACTGTCAAGGTGTTTAGATTTAGGTGAAATTCTAGTTTAGAAAATGCATTGTGTGTACGCATCTGATCGTCTTAAATGATGACATAAATGTTAACAATATGAAATACTTTTCTTTGAGATGAAATAGAGCGATTGCCGATAGGAATTTTAAAAAACTGCTTAATTTATGGTCTAGGACCAATGATATTTTTCCCATTTCGAAGACGTTTAATTCAGTCTGCAACCCAATTTGCTATATTTGCATAGAATAAACCATAATAGCCCTATACGATGCTAAAATTGACTTATCAAAAAGCAATCGCTCGACCCTTCGCCTGTTTAACCAAATAAAAATGTAATTCCGACCCCACTCCAAGGCTCAAGGGAAGAAATTGCCCGCAAAAACAATTATTTATGATAGAAACAGCAAAAATATAATATTTTAAATGTCGTCCGCAAACACACGACGTTTGATATCAGAGAGCGCTTTAGAATGTATTTGAAATGTCTTTTAATATTTCTTAGATGAAAAGTAATATTATTTCTACGAAACGAAATGTTTATCCAGCGAAAGAAACTCTACTGAAAATACAAAGAAGTCTTGAAGAATAAATTCTATTTTATTTGCAGACTACATTTTAAAGTATATACCTATATAAAACTACCTATATTAAAACAGATGCATAATATGTCAAGTTGTCAAATATGACGTACCAAAACTAATAAGACTAGATACAGTACATACATGCACATTATAATAATAATTAATATTAAACTTTCGCATAGTAAAATAATAATTAATAAATTGATTACAATTTATTAACATTATACAGTATAACATTTGCCAATCAATCACACGTCGCTTCGCATCAATAATTGATCAATAAAACATTTCGCAGTGGAAAGTGTTGACTGTGTTTTAAGAACAACAAATTATTTCAATGATAATTGATGTTCTATAAGACAATTATATCAATGAACATCTATTTCTTTTGTAGTGTTTAAACAAACGTAAAACAATATAAAATAATTAACATAAATCATAAAACAATAATTACGCTGAATTATGATTTCGATTTCGCTTATTTTAACTTAAACCAACGTTTATTTAAACACAACGATGTTCATTTATTGATTAACTCAAGAAAAACACTGGAACAATTAAAATTCGCTTGCTTGTATGTTTGTTGTAGCATATAAACAAATTTTGAGATTCAAAATTAAACTTATATTTCTACAAAACACGCCATTATCTATAGTACCTTTTAATTTGTTGATCCTGTAGTAAACAGTATTATGAAAACAAATCTCTAGATAGTGTTTAATATTTGTTGACGCCGTATTGATCGATACAATGTGATAAAACGATAGTGTTCAGTTTAATATATTTGTGTTAAATTTAATGAAAGGAAAATACCCGAAAATGAAATACTTTAAAAAGTCATAGTCTATTATGTAAACTGTTAAAAGCCTTGAATTTTCATTGTCTTTTTTTTTTATACTTATCTTTGGAATAGCATAATATATGCAGCGAATGTCACATAACTTCAAGCAATCTCAAGCCACTACAGACTTACAAATCAAGTTTATTTTCGGCAGTTTTCTAACATTTTATATAAAATAAATATGAAACAAGGATATGTTTGAGCACCCGATCTATGATATGTTTTTTTTATTTCTAATTAAATTTACGCATGAAATTTTTAATGAAGTACAAAAAAATTTAGAAATATGTTTTTATTAATTGACTATTGAAAATAATTTAATATTATATGTGTATATATAATATAATATAAAGAAAAATCAAAGTTTTAAGATGGTTATTAAATATTACGAAAGTTTAAAGGATCTACGGCGTTAAGTACATACCTGAAGTTAGAATAAGTGGAGCTAATATTCGTAAAAATTTAGTTTTACCTCGTCATCTACTACCAAATTATGAAAATAGTTTTATAACGGAGAAGTCATTAGGTCTAGCAAAAATAAACTTTCATTTACTCGAGCTACAAAAACAAAAATTTAATTCTTTGGAGGTTTTTATTGATCGTAAAACATCCATGATTCTCAGAAGAATACATTTTGATGGACGTTATATACATATATACTTATACACATCTAGGAATTTTCTTTTTACCTTTAATCATATTAAAATTTTATGAAATTCTAGTTTAAATAACCAACTCACTATACTGATATTGAAACTAGTACATATAACACCTATATTAAATTTTCGACCGTTCCACAGGATCGTTTAAGATTTAACGAATAGAATTCAATAAAATTTAGCACAATTATAGAAATGAAAATTATACATAAATTTTAATATAAGCACCTACAGCCGTAATGCGGGCGAAAGCTAGCTGAGAATAAATTACATACAACAAAGCCTCCCCTACCGTGTGAAGTCGCAAGTACGCAACCGAACACTAGTATGAAAACAGCTCGACAAGTACATACTATAGTACACTCGATTGTTTCAAACGATATCGCCCGTGCAAACACTCAAAGTGAACAAACACCGCGGAAAAACTTGAGTGGTTTGCTTTAGAATTAGCGTTGAATACGAAAATACACCGGCTGATTGATGTTTAATAAGGGTTGTCACTCGATGTTATAGTGTTTGTTAATGGACGCTTATTATAATTTGTTTGGTGTTAGGGTTGTAACGCGATTTGTGGCAGACGATTTTGTACGGCCGTTATGTGTTGTCACCTATGAATATTTAAAGTGCATATTACCAGCTTTAAAAAGTACCATGATTTTTTCATACAGCCAGCGTTCGATAAAATAAATAAAATTATTCCTATAGTAGGACCTACCTACTGTTTCACGGAATCTCATTATTTTGAATGCAGCATTTAACATTGTGTACACAAACGTACAACTCTATAAGCAGCAAATGTTTTAAATTGAATGTTTAAATGTAGGTATGTAATGAAAAATATATTAAAAATTTTCCATCAGCCGCCCACGCCCCGGTAGAATCAATTTTAAACCGCCCCCAAATAATCGGTTTCTTTTGTCCCTATTCTCTTCCCTAATCGAATTTTGGCGGCAAAAATGCCTTTTATTGTCCCCACGTTACCAGCGAACACTCTCCCTTTGATATTTTGAATGAATTTTGCGGTTTAAATAAATTTGAAATTAAAATTAATGAAATGTCGCGTTCCTTATTAGGTACATATTTAAACACGTAGTTCATGAATGCATTGTTCTACATTAAATGTAAGATATTTATTTAAAACATATACATACTTTTAAGTTGTTAAAGTTAAATGATTTACACAGGACTTCGTTTATGTCTTCAACTGGGTATAGGTATAAAGTTAACCACTCGAGGCGAACCATTTGAAACGTTCGTAATGAAAATCATAAAAGAACGTTGGCTTGCTGTTTTTTCTTTTGGGGCTGTAAAAGAAAATAGCTAAAGGATATTCCCGCTCTTCTTTTACGTATTATTATATTTCGTTCTCTCCGCCGCCATTAATAGGATTTGTTCTAGAAATTACTTCTAACATCTACATTTATAGAAGAGTATCTATTAAGTTTTTAAATTATTCATAGAGCCTCAGCGGCCACGGAACTATTCTCACGTTAATTCACTTTATATTTGGATGTTATTTGAAGGGTAGCTAATAGCGCTATTACAATGAAATAACACAATCTTCAATGTTAATCAACAATTACGTACAATTAACAATTCTATCAACATGATTCATGACTCATTACCTAAAAATATTAAAATCCCACTATCAAAGGATCTATAACAAGCTATTAGCGAGCTAAAAGCTATAAAAATCACAGATTATTTCGTATTACTGGCATATTAAAGTATGTTATAGCGTGTTTATGGGGCCGGCCGTTAATACGAGACCACCATCTTAAATGTAAAATAAGAAACGGAGAGATAAGAATCTAAGAACATAAAAGATATGGGAACCTTTGTGGAGCCGGTAGCCGCGTATACTTATATACAGCCGTATACAGCCGTATACAACACAACCGGCACGCACACAGGCACAGCCAGCCGGCACACATGAAAGGGAGATGGACGCACACATACAACTCTACAATCCGATTGGTCCCCGCCACGCCCACTTTTATCGACGTTGCGCCAGGAACGTGCGTGCGAAACATCCGTATATGTAAAATAGGCTATAGCTTAGAGCCGAGAGACGTTTTTGAAATGTCATTTCCATTCGGCGAACCGTCACCAGTCAGCCGTCTGTGGGAAAACTATGGACGGCTACTAAACGGGGGTCCATTCAGTTTAGTTCAATTTGGATTTTTGTTTCTTTCGTTATATTTTTTTCGTTAGAAATGAAAGCTTTCCGCTTTAAGCGCTTAGAGCTCAAAGGGATTTGTTATAACATGTGCGACGTACACGAAAATATATATAGGATTATTTTTACTGTATTAATTGAAAAGTGATACGAGTTGGAAAAAATATTTTGACATACCTAAAACTCTATGTATTTTAGGTATTAAATTTGTATAAATGTTGCCTTTTAAAGCTAGTGTCTAGATAAACTGGTCAAGTATGAAGTTGTAGCAGGAGGATAGAATAATTTTGGTAACGTGATGTAAACCTTATTGAACATTTGATTAGCGGCTGGGCGGATGTGATGACTAATGAAATAGTTTTTTACTGTTACAGAAACGGCTGCATTAGATAACTCAGATACCTACTTGAAGAAATTTAAAAATATTTTAATTCAATATATAAATACTTTACAGTTTCTTGTTTCGAAAATATGTATGTAAAATCAATTTTTACATGTCAAATATTACTATTACATTTGTAATTATT